CGCTTAAGGTTACAATTTGTACTTTATTGAAACGTGCGCATGCCATGAATCACGAGAAGAATTATGCACTCTGCAGGCTACAACACAGCATGACATATGAACTTCAAAAGCAAGAAATAAAAATATTTGTTACTCTTAATTTTGGTTATTTTTACTCTTGGTAAAGAACATTTTCGGGGAACCTGCAGAAGCACATCTAGTTTTACTCTTTTCTCAAACTCTTCATTCATTAGTGATTTGAATTACATTTTCATTTTATATATTACCCTAAATATATGGAGGCTTTTCATATTTTATGTTGGTTATTTGATGATATATTGTTATGTTGGTTATTTGATAATATATTGTTATGTTGGTTGTTTGATGATATATTGTTATGTTGGTTGTTTGATGATATATTGTTATGTTGGTTGTTTCACTCTAGAAAATGTATATATTTATATATTTCACGGAGTGACAAAGGGTGATATTAGAAATTTTTATGTCACTCTAGAAAATGTATATATTTCACAGAGTGTCAAAAGGTGTAGACAAAATGTTTGTTATTTATTTGAATCTTGATATTCAGCTTACAAAAGTTGTACAAATTACATTGCTGTGTTAGTCATTTTCTAACATAAAATTGTGTTGGTTGTTTGATGATATATTGTTATGTTGGTTATTTGATGATATATTGTTATGTTGGTTATTTGATAATATATTGACATAAAAATTTCTAATATCACCCTTTGTCACTCCGTGAAATATATAAATATATACATTTTCTAGAGTGACATAAAAATTTCTAATATCACCCTTTGTCACTCCGTGAAATATATGTTTTATAAAATGACATAAAAATTTCTAATATCACCTTTTGTCAATTTGTGAAATATATATATATATTATAGAGTGACATACAAATTTCTAATATCACCTTTTGTCAATCTGTGAAATATAAAAATTGCTGATATTGCCTGCACCTTCTTTCCACAGTGAATGAGGTTTTAACTACATAGCTTGAAAGAGATTAATAAATAGACTCGTTATGATGTCCCAAGTTCGTGAGAGAACCATTTTCTCACTCAGCAACTAACAATTATTCAAATACTATGTATTGACCTCCATAAAAATAATCCTGCTGGGATAGAGGGCGTGACAGTTTTGTTATATATTCATTTACTATTGGATTGCTCCCTAGTGGCACAGCGGCAAGTCTTATAAGTTTTTTTTGTAGTAAAGCGCAAAAAGTACACAAGGGACTATCTGTGCTGTGCCTACCACGGGTATCGAAACCCGGTTTTTAGCGTTATAAGAGTGACCGCTATGCCACTGGGGGACATCTCGTAAGTCTCAAGATTTATAACGCTAAAAAGCAGGTTTAGATAGCCGTGATGGGCACAGAACAGATAGCCTATTGCGTAACTTTGTGCTTAACAACAAAGAAACAAAAACTATGGGACTGCAACTTTAAATCTTTGCGATTAGAACCGAGTAAATGTATGGAATAAGGAGAAGGTCGATATGTGTGTGTGTGTGTGCATGTGTTTTTCTGTTTAGGATATGTATGTATGTATGCATATATATATATATACAGTATATGTACATGTGTGTGTGTGTATGTTAATTGTGTGCAATTTCCCGTTTTATCTATTATCTTAAACAACAAACACACGAAAGAAATGTGAAAAAGGAAAACAGTCTGAAAACACGTGTTCGACTGGAAGACTGGAGCAAACAGTGTTTCGAGTATTTCGTGTGGGATGCGTTATGACCTTTAAAAGTATAAGGACATCAAAAACGAGCTCAGAAATGACCAACGCTGTAGAGGGGAAAAATGGAAGTTTGTTTGTTTGTCTTGAATTTCGCGCAAAGCTACACGAGGGCTATCTGCGCTAGCCGTCCCTAATTTAGCAGTGTAAGACTAGAA